CACACACACACACACACACACACACACACACACACACACACACACACACACACACACACACACACACACACACACACACACACACACACAAAGAATAAGAAGCGATGGGGGATAAGAAGTATGGTTGTCTCCTGCCTCTCGCTCACTCTCTCAAAAGGATGAGACCAAGCAGTGAAAGGCAGAGGCTTGAGCCGCCGATGCACTGCAGATGTTTTGAAGAAGAAGGCCAGCCATGGCCAGTGACAGACCTGCAAGATATCATGCCAGGTGAGTGGACTCCTCCATTGCAACTCCAAGATTGCCTAGCTCTACCAGCGCTAACCTGTACTCCTTTAATGCTACCGGGTGGGCTGCTCCTCTGCTCTCACTGGCTGACTGTATGCACAGTAATGAATGAAAGACTACCTCCCTACTAGTAGTGGGCCGCTCTCTCCAATGTACCGCTGGTTGGCCAAGTCCATTACCTGGCGTCTCACCTGGGCCATCCGATTGGCCATGGATCTGGCAGTTCGGGTGAGAGGCCATGAGGGCAAACTCTGGCCCAGGCATAAAAACATCTGGCCTACGTCACTACCCAAGCCCAGAGCCTCCCTTGCTGTCTCAGAAACAGTGCATGGATCAAAAAAATGGACCTGGCATAAAAGACGGACACAAGCCCAGCCACAAACAGACAAGCTGGACCAAGACGTGAAACAGCATGTGCCAGAGGTCTGTGCTGGATAAAGTCCCGAAAACACAATCCATAGCAAACTGGCGCAAAGCGAAGCCGTACTGACAGTAACAAAATGTGTGGCAATTGAAAACAACACCAATTGAATGAAACTGAACTGAGAACGGACACAGCTCACCCATGCATAGACGTGCATGCCTGTCTAAGAATCGACTCACGTAGCGGCCTCATGATGGCTGAGGGCCTCTCCACCAGTAGAAGGCCATATTACCAAGGATCTAACCAGCAGATGGGCCTGCCCAAGAGATGTCCGGGCCCGGGAGGCCCAAGCACCGGGTCTGGTTCTCAGCAGGTGCAGCCGCCCACCAATAAGAATGGAGGATTCTTGATTTAACAAACAATTAAACAAACAAACAAACAAGAAGTCCAATCGATGTAATGAACGAATGACCGAATGGATGAGCCCACAAATGAACCAATGAAATGAAACAGAATGGAACAAAATGACACAAACTAAACTGAAACGATGGGAATGAAATCACGTTATGGGCGGCGGGAAAAAAAAAATGCGAAAAAAAAATCCAAGACAACAATTAATATGTTATTGGCAGGGAGAACCACATACTGTGGCTGAGATGCAGCAAGGGGAGCTCCAGTTGAAGTTACAGAAAGGTGGCAATCAAGGATATGGACACGGGTGGCCTGTGAACCTATGGGAAGTTCAGAGGCAAAGCAGAGATTGTGAAACAGAGAGGGGGGGAAAGGAAAATGATCATTATATTGTTCACAATGACTGGAATGTTGGGCGGTCGGAGACATAAATTGGGATTCTGGGACCGAAATCTGTTAGAGTGCTGTTTCCTTGTCGTCATCACTTCGACGATAACGGAGACGTAAATTCACCGGTTTCGCCGCATCACCACAAGCAACGTAGTGGAAAACCAAACAGGCAAAAGAAAACGAAAAAAAAAATCACAAAAAGTAAAAAACAGTATAAAACCCTAATGCCAAAACACTTTCCGAGTTAAACTAAGTGTTCAAGGGGGGTAATCACCGCTCGCGCCGCAGGGGTAGCGCATAACGCAGCGCTCGACCCGCGACCTCGGGCCTGGCAGAGCCGAGTGACCTGAAAGCCAGCGCGCCATCGCGCGCGCCACGTCAGCGTTAGCAAGCCATCGCACGCACCACTTCAGCGTCCTACCATAAGCGAAGGCAACCTCGTAGTCTTTTCTCCCGGCTTTTAATGGTACTGCTGAAGGCTGCCTTCCTTCGAGCGATGTCGCGTTGACTCCTGTCCGATGGAGGCTACCAGCGTACATAAGCCTGTCGTGCTGTCGGGGTTAGGCGGCCATAGCCGCTGTAGTTTAGAGACAGAGTTCAGTGTGTGTGTGTGAGTAGCAGAGTGTATGTGTGTGGGACATTCAGGGTGATCCAGAGACGAGTACGTGTGAACAGTATGTGGACACAGCGACGAACGATTATGACAGTCAGTGCAAAATTCGCCGAAAATAACACCCCCTGCTAACCACATGTGGGTGTGCATCTTGATAGGCAGAAGGGTGGTAACCTGTGAAGCAGCCTAGTCAGTGATCGAGGATGCACTCACCGTGAGATTAGAGACTGGCGTCTTTTCCCTCCCGAACACAACGCACCCTAACTTGTCTGCATTGATGATTAGAGTGCAGTGTGTTCGGGTGAAGTCTGTAGAATGTCTTCATGTGACTGAGAGTGTCCATGTCATGACTCAATATCCATGTCGAGGATGCAACACGACAAGAGTATGTCAGCCCTCACCAAGGCAGGTGCATGGGATGAAGGTCAGGAAGGTAAGTTGAATGAGGCCAGATTCCGTGGATTAGTATGGATGTATATCATGTTACTATGTACTTGCAGATGGGGTCATCTTTCCCCACAGTGAAGTGGAGCTGTCATTATCGGGGAGCATCCCTTGGAATCAGCCGAAGGAAAAAAATAAAAACAGAAAAATAAAATGAAACAGAAGGACAAAGGTTTGCTCACATTTATGCATTTCTCTCTCGGGGTTGTGGCAGGTAGACCCGGAAGTGGGAAAACATCTTTTTGAAGAGTGCATTCTGGGATACCTCAAGGGCAAGTCCGTTGTTATGGTCACACACCAGCTCCAATACTTACCCAGGTAAATTGTTCTAAATTCTAATATTATTGTTATGATCCTACTCGACTCGCATTATCTGTCTTTAAGAGATTGGTTCAATATTCAGAAAGGGGAAGTTTTGTCCCCTACTGTGAATTTCCCAAAGTTTTTTCCGCCCTCTGAGGTTGCCGTGGTTGAATTGCAATGGTTTGGCAGAGGGGGGGGAGTAAGCCCTATGAAATGATAATGAGAGGTAGGTCTGCTGAATGTTCCTGTTTTATATGGCGGACTGATTAGGGGATGAAGAGGTGGTCTGGGGAGTAAGCCATATGAAATTTTATAGGGAGGTAGGTCTGCTAAATGTTCCTTTTACATTTTGCGGCCTGATTAGGGGCTGAAGAGGTGGTCTATTCCTCCCAAAATCATGTATCAATCATTTTGTTTATTTGGGACTCTGGACCCGGTGCGGTACTACGTGTGCAAATTGAACCCTCCGATCAGACCTAGATCTTCTCCTTATGGGGCTCCTGTTTCGTTTGTTCCCAAAAAGGACGGTGAGTTACGACTCTGTATTGACTACCGGGGATTGAATCCTAGACACTGTTAAAAATGCCAGACCCATCCCTCAGATTGATGACCTTCTTGACCAAATACAAGGATGCAGGTACTTCAGTAAAATTGACTTGAAGTCCGGTTACCATCAGATTGAGGTAGCCCCTGAAGATCAACACAAAACAACTTTCCGAACAGGATATGGTCACTATGAGTTCATAATAATGTCGTTTGGATTGACTAACGCACCTTCTACCTTCCAAAGGTCAATGAATGAGTTGTTCCGAGAATTGTTGGACCGATTCGTAGTGGTGTACCTCACTCACGTTCTTGTTTTCAGCAAAACGTTGGAAGACCATGGAAAGCATCTGCGTTTGGTCCTACAAAAATTAAGAGAAGGTAATTTCAAACAGAATCCTAAGAAGTCTGAATTCGCAGAGTCTGAAGTTTTATACCTAGGACACGTTGTGAACGAAGATGGGTTGAGGCCAAAGGAAACGAAAACCTAAGCTGAAAACTTTAATTGATTTGCGCTCCTTTCTTGGATTGGCTAGCTATTATAGGAAGTTTTTCAAAAACTTCTCCTCCATAGCTGCCTCAATGAGGAGGCTCTTGAAGAAAGAGACCATTCGGCTTTGGTAGAAAGACTGTAAGTTTGGGTTTCAGAAGTTTAAGTATTCACTTACTATCATGTTATGAAAATTGTGGACCTATCCTTTCCTTTTGTTGTGACCACTGACGCAAGTTGGTATGGTATTGGGGCTGTATTGCAGCAAAATGATGGGAAGGGTTAACGACCAATTGAGTTATGTCTTGCAGACTCCCTTCAGACTGAGTAGCAAACTCAACCTTCGAGAGGGAATTGTTTGCACTATTGCAGGCTCTACTGACATGGAAACACTACCTCTTAGGCAGACACTTTAAAGTTTACTTAGACCATGAGACTTTGAAGTGGCTTAAGACGCAACCTCGTCTTACTGACAAGCTTGCCAGGTGGTCATCTATCATTGACACTTATGATTTTGAGTTAAAAATAATAAAGGGTAAGTACAATGTGGTAGTTGACGCTCTCTCACGAAGGGGTGACTAGTTTGGAACAATTGCTACCTACCTAGATATTAGAAACGACTGAAAAGATAAGACTAGGGAAGGATATACTACTGACCATTTTTGGCAACCTATCATAGATACCCTGAAATCTAATCCTGAACGTTTTCCCGACTACCGAATGACGGACATAATATCATTGATGGAAATGAACAAAGAATTTGTGTTCCGCATCATGAACCTACAGCCAATGTCATGACACAGACTTTTGCCTATGTCCGGGAACGTTTTGTTTGGCAAGGAATGAAAAACGACACGTTGACGTGCGTGAGAACTTGCCTTGTGTGCCAGTCCAACAAGCCAGCCCACGAGAGGCCCTTGGGACAATTGAGACCACTACCGAGTACTGAAAAGCCAGGTGAGTCTATTTCTATTGACTTCATGAGCTTAACGAAAAGTCGAAATGAAAATAATCAGGTAATGGTGATCATGGACCGATTCTCTCTCTTTCTCTCTCTCTCTCTCTCGCTTTCTCTTTCTCTCTCTGTCTCTCTCCGTCTCTCTCTCTCTCTCTCTCTCTCTCTCTCTCTCTCTCTCTCTCTCT